CTGCCAATGACAAAGGAAGTGAACAAAGGCCCGAAATCCCTACCCAACCTTTCTTCAGTGAGATGGTTAGTTATTTCCTAAAAATTATTTATTTTACTTCTTTTTACCAAGTCTTTTTACTTTTGATGTTGATGTTGCTATATTATCTCCACATAATTTTACCTTTATAGATATGTCAATTACTTAAAATGATTGTGGCTTGAAATTCTTCCACTTCCTAACTTAAAAATTGAAATAAAATTATTCAATTTAAGAAAATTGATTGATTGGCAAAATTATATTAAACTGTCCCAAATGTCTCTGCACGTCATTTCCCTTGTTTTTGCTTCTATATGTTGTAGTTTCATCGCATAATCTTTTACATTTTTTAAAATCTAGATTCCATAAATCGTTTATTAAATTATCCCTCTGATTATGTTTTCTTTTTAATGCAATTTGGTAAATTCTTCAGGTGGCATTCCCTAATGTAGAGATAATATTGATTCAATTTATGGAGAGCTTGAACAAGATATGGCAAGACCAACTTGATGCAGATTCTTTTTGCCAACTAAATTACCTTTGTGTAAATTCATGTGGAAAGCTATTGAACATTTTCCCGTTAACCATGTTGGAAAGGCTTCAGAAATTAGACAAGCTGCAGATATGGAATTGCAATGCGCTAGAAGAGATAGTCGATTCACAAGGGCTTGGTGCTATCCAATCACAATCTCAAATAAGCACTGAGCCAACTTTGGTAGAAACTCCCATTAAGTTAGTCTTGCCAAAATTGACACACCTTCAACTTTATGGGCTACCCAAACTGAAGGGTTTCTATTGTCAAATGGTAGATACTGAATGGCCATCATTGAAAAAATTGAAGGTGTATGGATGTGACCAAGTGCAGATATTTGCTTCAGAATTTTCGGGCTTCCAAAGGGCTAATGGAGATGACCAAATTGGAATTGGGATCAATTGTCCTATTTTCTCAGTCAACAAGGTAAGAGCTGTAAGTATATTCATAGAAGCGTGTCTGTAGATATGCAGTTGGTTTCAAGTAAAGCTTTTATCTTGGCTTAGTAACATCTTCAAATTGAGTTAATCAAGTGCATAATATATATATATATATATATAATGTTTAAAAAATCATCATAATGATAATTAACTCATCATAGTTGGCTCAAATGGAGCTCCGCAACTTGAAATTTAAACTAAATAATCTCTTTTCTGTATACACAAGGTAATTTAAATAAGTACTCTCATGTATTGAA